TGGGTTCCTACAAGTCAGAACTCAAACAATGGTATTTTTAATACCTTTTTTCCTGCGATGCTAGGTACTATCATTAGAAACCAAACCCACTTTTCAACAGAGCTACCAGCTTCAGCAACTCTCTTCCCCCCTGATCAACTCCCTGTTCTGATTCTGCACATTTGTTTATATGATCCCATGGTGAATCAGATCACAAAAATTATGTGCCTGAAAAATAACCCGTTTGCTCGGCCCGCAGCTGCCTGAGCGCCCAACTCAAGCCGCTCGTGTCAGATGTTACATCCACATTAGTGTCAGATTTCTAGCCACAGCCTTAGAAAGGCCAGGAGAGTAAAATGCCAAATTAAAACCTCACCCCAAGCAGGCAAGGAGAACATGCTGCACTGCTTTGCCAGGTTAATGAGCTACCGACATTCCTTGCGTTCCGCACACGTATTTGTCCCAGATCTTCCCACCTGAGCAGCCCCATGGGCTACCAAAGCCGCCCCAAAGCAGGTTGGATCCTAAGTTCTCCGAGGCAGAGACCTCTTCTTGTCTGTAAAGCACCTGGCGGGCACTTGGCTCTGTAAAACATGCATTGCTTTTCTCCTTCGTTCATGTAATGCCGTGATTCACACAAGCAGGGGCCAGCACATCTGCAGGATATTAAGCGCCTTCTTCCCCCCAGCTTTTGCGATTGCTCTAGTTGCCTTGACACTGCAGCTGGTGTGCTCACTGGGCTGAGGGGTTATCCTGTTTCCTCTGGCTGCCGTGTGCCAATGCTTTCGCCTATGAAGCTCTCCCGTGTGGAATTCCGGCAGATTTCACAAGCTTCCAGGCATGCAAGGTCTGCCTGCTCTTGAAGCAATCACCCCATACAGAAATGGTGCCAAGCACAGTGATTTCCCCCTTTCCGAACAGCAGAAACATCCTATGGTGATGAAATGCTGAGGTACGTCCCAGTTCTCCCACCTCTGCATTTGTATTCAACACCTTTGTGTTCAATCCCTGCAAGTCACAGACGCTAAAACCCCAGCACAGCCCCTTGACAAACTCAAAAGTAACCCACATCTTCAGCTAGGAGATCAGGCATTACGCTCCCACATTGTTTTGAGAACAGATAAGGCCTTAAAAACCAAATAACAACCCATTATTTCCCTTCCTATCGCCACAATACAGCCGACAAAATAATAACAACAGACTACTGTACCCTCTTCACCATTACACACACATACTGAGCGAGCCTTATCCCTTGCAAACAGCAGCCCCTCAGAGCCAGGCCTCTTCAACTCGGGCACCCATATGCTACTGTATTCCCTTATGGACTCCACCACCCTGGCAGGAATAAGCAGCTCTCCACACACATAAGCAGCAGCAGCTCTCAGCCTGAAGGGTTTCCACCCAAGGGCCCAGCTCTTGGCCCCGATGTGTGGTGGGTATCAGAGCCAGGCTTTGGAAAGCTGAGTGTTTAGAGAGAAGCGCTGTCGGAGGAGTCGTTAGAAGGGAAAGGTGCTCGCCTTGCTGCTGAACCTGAAGCAGCGACACAAACACGATCCGGTCCCTGCTTTAGCATCGCTTGCGCGGCCTCCCTCAGCCCTGCTCGGGGGTTCAGGTCCCAGCTTCAAGCCCTGCAGAAAGGGACCGGCCCCGGGAGGGCCCTCGCTTCTCTCAAGCGGCAGCTCCAGCCGGGATGATTATATTGCTTTATAAGTCAATAAACTGCAGCAAAAACCAGCGCCCACCCGCACCGCCGGGCGCCTGCCGAGGGCCTCACTCAGGCCCGGGAGCCCCTCAGGCCCGGGCCCGGGCCCGCAGTGAGAGGCCGAGGCCCGGCCGTGCCCGCTGCTCCGGGCATCCCCCCCGCCTTCCCGGACCCCCGCCCAGTTCCCCCCCCCCCCGCTCCTTCAGCCGCCCCCGGCCTCACCCCGGCACCGCCCGGCGGCTGCCCCGCTCCGCCGCCCGGCTCCGGGCTCCTCCCGCCCGCGATGGAGGCGGGACACGGGGGCCGGGCCGCCGCTTCCTGCTTCCGCCATGGCCCGGCCAGGCCCAGCGCCCCCCGAGCCCCCGCACCCGGACAGCCCCCGGTGGCACTGAGCACCCCCAGCAGCCAGGTACCCCCTCCCCGGTGGGCCTGAGACCCCCCCCAACACCTACCGGAGCCCAGCGTGCCCCTGCAATTCCCAGCTCCCGTTTAAGCCCAGAACACGGGGACCCCCGGCCCTGTATCCCTGCGGCAACCCCCCAGCACTTACCTGAGCCCAAGGCCACCCTTAACTCCCCCAGCACCAGCCTGACCCCCCCCCCATTAGCCACAGACACCCCCAGCACCCTAACGCACCCCGTCCAGCACCCACCTGAGGCCATGGGTACCCTCAACACCCCCCAGCCCCTGCCTGAACCCCCAACACCATCAGACCCCCCCCCACACACACCTGAACCCCCAGCACCAGCCTGATCACCCTGAGACCTCCCCAGGACACCCCCCCCCAGCACCCACCTGAGCCCATGATCACCTTGAGACCCCCCCAGCACCTGTCTGACCCCCCATTACCAACAGACCCCCCCAAAACTGAGTTCTCAGCATCCTCAGACCCAAATCAGCACCTTCAGACACCCCCCCAGCACTCCTGAGACCCCCCAGCATCTCCAATGCCCTTTCATAGCCAGATCCACAGCACCCATGACACCTCTCTACCCCCCAGCATCCCTCCACAGCACCCACCCCTCAGCCCTTACACCCTCCCAAACCCTACAGCAGCCCCACCAGGCCCATTTACCCATCCCCATGGGGATGTGGGTGTCCATTCCCACAGCTCAGTGACAAGTGGTGACCATGCACGGGGTGTTAACCCCCTAAAAAGCATGGGAAAGCCCTAAAATGTATGGGAAAGACTTGCAGGAGTAAAGGGCTGGCGGATGGAGCAAGAGGAGGTCTCCAAAGCCATCCCTGACATGAAAAGCCTGGAAGAAATGAGGATTGAGGGGTCTCAGCCTTACCCAGCACCCCGATATGGGTGTCAGTCCTTAACTGCAGTTAAATGCATTTTCAGTCGGTGGTCAGTTGGGGCTGTGAGGAGCTTTTCTCGTATCTCCCCAGTCCCTTTTGAGCCTTGTTTCAGTTCTTGGCCTCAACAACTTCCTGCAGTGATGAATTCTGCAGTTGAATTAAACACTGCAAGAAAAAGTACTTCCTCTGATCAGGTCTGAACTTCCTGCCCCATCCATCCCAGTGCGGGAAGCGCGATGCTCTCTGCATCCTGATTTCCCTGCCTTTCAAGGGGAATGGGGTGAGATTCAGGGAGACGCTGTTGGGTGAGACCCAAAACCATGGGGCTGGGACACTGGAAGCTTTGGCCGATGATTTGTTCTGACTTAGCAAGAGCTCGGCTGGGTTCTCTGCTTTCAGTGGAAGCATCCAAGTGGGATGGAGGCAAACGCCTGCTGAGCTTGGGCCGGTATCCAAGATCTTCTGCAACCTGGGTTTGGCTGGGGCAGCTCCTCTGATTCCTGTGGAGTGCCTCGAGCTATTACAAATGGCTCGAAGGGAAACAGCCTGATTTTAAACCAGAATTCCTGTGGTCCAAACAAATACACATTTCCCTCTTGCTATTAATATCTCAACCCTTGATCTTCCTCCAAACACTCATGCATGCGTTTACCAGCTTGCAGAGGAGCGGTCCATTGGATTCTGGAGTGGGAAAGTTTACCTGGATTATGAATTATTGAAGGTGAAAGATGCTTGCAAATGCAGTGCCCTGGCCATACTTCCCGACATCCTTCATCGCCTTCCTGGCATTTCCCTCAACCTGGCAATGAAAAATCCATTTCCAGGTTTGGAGGGGAGCTCTGGAGAGGTGTAACACTTGTTTTATGCTTTGGGCACAAACTCAGTCCGTAATTTCTAGTGGAATTAGACAGACATTTCTTTCTGTTTGCTCTTCTGGGAAGCTTTTGTTTTGCAGATCTCTCTTCTGGGCCCTTTCCTACCTCCTCGTTTCTTTCTTTGCAGAAGCAGTGCTGCAGTTGGAAGGTGTTGCTGCATTTGCTGCCATCTAATGGGAGAATCAGGTTGAAACAAGAGAGACTGAGCTGAGCTCTTAGGCAGAAGCTCTTCCCTGTGAGGGTGCTGAGGCGCTGGCACAGGGTGCCCAGAGAAGCTGTGGCTGCCCCATCCCTGGCAGTGTTCAAGGCCAGGCTGGACACAGGGGCTTGGAGCAAGGTGCTCTAGTGGAAGGGGTCCCTGCCCATGGCAGGGGTTGGAGTTAGAGGAGCTTTAAGGTCCCTTCCAACACAAACCAGTCTGGGACTGTATGAATTCAGCTTTGGCAAAGTGTGCTTGGAGTTATATTATTTAAAGACAAACCAGCAAAGCAGAAATAGTGAAGATGGGCCCAAACACCAGTAAAAAAAAGCCAGTAAGATCCCCCAGATACTGAAGCCAGGCACAGCTCTCAGCTGAGGAACTCTTCCTGAGGAGCTGTGATCTTCAGGCTGCTCCATCAGTAAAATACCTCAATAATGAAATATGGTAAGAACTGATATGGAATGGGGGTGTAAATATATTGCATTAAGAAAAGAGGGTCTTTCAACAACAGAGCCAAGGGACGATGGCTTTTGGTTAGGAGCAGCCAGGGGAAGACATTTAGGGGATGGGATGGGAGCTTCGGTAGTACAGAGGCAACACTGAGATGGGGCAAGCGGAGGAGATAACTCATCTCAAAATGACTCATCAGTTCCTGCATCACTGCAAAGGTGTACCCTACCTGGAGAAGCTCATAACCCTGATCTTTCCAAGCATGAGCTTGATCCATCTGCATCTAGAAATCAGCATTGTTTCTACTGAGCGCTTTTGGGTATCACACAGAGCTGGCCCATTTTGAAGAGGTAATTCTGTGAGCAGCAGAACCAAGAAGATCTGCTCTCACCTGGCTCTGTGCCCTGCAGGTCTCTCCCGTGGAGATTTGTCTTGATAGAGATTAATCTTAAACTGCAATGTTTCCATCAATGGGGGTATTAATTAGTCTCAGTTAATCAGGCCTTTATTCACACAAGTCACAACATCTCAGAGCTTTGCAGTTGCTCCCCAACAGGGACTTTTGTACCAACAGATACAAATACACAGGCAGCAGGAGCTCCTAAGCCTTGTTTCCTGGGAAAGCTGAGCTATAACAGTCAGAAACACACAGAATGATATCCTTTTCTTTAGCATATAGTGTTATTAGGAAACCAACACTTGTCACTGTATTGTTATAAAGCAGAAACTGGCTGCTATTCTCCTCTGCCATAATGTACATATAGATAATAATGTCAACTAAAGGCAAACCCATCTGAGCAGAACTATTTCCCCCAAATTGCGTGAAAGCATGGTCTTTAAATACTTCTCCTTGCTGGAGGACAGGGCAAAACCCGTAACACAGAAAACCACTAAAACACAACAATTGTCATTTTATTTATTCAGTCTCTGTGTCTTTCTCTGCAAAAAATACAGTTCTCTGCATGAAGCTGTAGAAAGAAAAATAATTAAACCCCCCTTGAAATGTGCTTGTTTAGGTTTTTCAAACTGGGTTTCTTTTTGACCCCAATTCAGTACTTCATACAGCAGTCACCTCAGTGCAGAAGGGCAGGGTGCAGCAGCTTGCTCTGACCGCCTCACCCTGAGATCTGCAATAGTGCAAATATCTGCTCTGAGGGGAATGCAATGAAAAGGGCTCCTGCAAGCATTTACTTGCTCATACTTCCCACCACCCCAATGCTCTTTCTGTTATCCTGGATGTGGCTTGGGAGGTTTTACATTTTGTTTAAGCAGTTTTTAGCAGTTTTCTGTCAAGACCCATTGCTGTTCACTGGCACAATAAACCAGGCAAAAGAAAAACTTAACTTTACCTTTCCTAACTGCAGGGAGTTAAAAGTGCATTTAGGATATATTCCATATTCCATTGTTCCAGATCGGATTGCAAAGCCAGAGCAAAAGACACCACCTCACAGCAGCACCAACAGCCTTAAACCCCCTGTTTTACACACCAGCCTTTGGTGACTCCTGGTATTTATGTCTTTCATCCCAAGACTCAGTTTTGCTCCCTGCTGCTTCCAATATCATTGCAGCGTCTTGGATCCATCTAATTTCCTATTCTGCCTCTTTCCATAGCCCATTTTTTGTCTCCAAAAGAAAGCAGAAGAAAGAAAGTTTCCCAGCAAGTATTTACAAGGGCTCCTGTCCTCTGGGATGGTGGCAGGAGATGAGCAGGGAAGGGGATGGGTAACAGCCACTCCTCCACAAAGACTTTTGCTCTCAGCATCTGAGGGACATGAGGCCAGGTAGGCATATGGGGAGCAGAGATGGTGTCTGAAGGCTATTTTTATGCTTTTCTGTCTGTCACTGCAGTTTCACATCGGGGGGGGGGGGGTGTGGGGGGGTGTGGGGTGTGGTGTGTCTCTCCATCACCAGCAGCAGCTCTTTTTCTTCTGGGGTAGCTTTGGTACCTCTTCTGCCTTATTTTTCAGTTTATCCTCATTAACTTTGAGCAACCTGGGAGAAAAGGAAGCAAATTAGTCAAATATTTCCCCCATATTTTGTATTTCTGTGCTATTTGCCTTGACAAGCATTGTCAAGGGGGGCTCAGCGCAAATGAAAGGATTTAGGAGCCTTCAAGCTCAGTATGATTTGAGAACCATGGACTCTGCTAAAAAAGCCACCCTAAATCAAGCCACAGACAGAATTTATTGGCTGTCAACCAAGAGAGAAATCAGCAGCATCCTGAAAAGGGTTTTATTGATCTTACTAATTCAGGACACATCTTTCAGCACTTACCTGCAGCTCACCCCAACCATGCACATGCTGTTCTGAATTTTCCCTGAAAATGGGCACGTGGAGTCTCCGGTGACACAAACACACCAGCATTTGGACTTAAAAAAGTAGCAAGGGAGCCCATTAAAATCAGGAGAGATGGCAAATCCAAGCACACACCTCACCTGATCAAGCTGACCATGGACTCGGAGATGTTGTGGCCCGAGGCAGCACTGCATTCGTAAAACATGAGCTGATGCTCCTTCAAGACAAAGAGCACACATAGAAATGTAAAATTCTTAACACTTGAATAGCTTAATATGGGAGTAAATGAGTAATAGCCACAGGACAGTCACAGGGGAAATAGGAGGGACTCAAGGAAACAAATGACTCAGTAACTTATTTACAGGAATATGAGGGTGAAATCCAGCTTTTCTGGTAGCTGCAAAACCAACTTTTAATACCAAGGAAAAGGCGGACAGAATGTGATGTGATGCCCTTTAGTTAGTGGAGCAAATACGGAGATGTAACTGCATGTTCCCAGGTCTTTTGTGCCTGCCAGTGACTGCTTTGGGGAAAAAAGCATCTATCCCTTGTCCTGCTGTCTTCATTTGTGAAATCTGTAAATTCTCCCCCATGAGGGTGCTGAGGCGCTGGCACAGGGTGCCCAGAGAAGCTGTGGCTGCCCCATCCCTGGCAGTGCTCAAGGCCAGGTTGGACACAGGATACTGGCCCAAATCCCATAAAATTTAAGTTGATAAATGTGAGATTGTTCTCACCTTATTTTTTATTAGCCATCTACGTTGGAAGAGATTAATTGTACTTTAAGCATTTCATACCATTAAACCAGAATAATTTGGTGGTTTTATAATTTGCATGATGCTGGGAAGATCTGTGACACTTTACAGCAAAGAGAAGCAGAGCTGAAAATGTTTTCATTTATAGATCCAGCTCCATAAGCTGTTTTACTGGAGTGGTGCTGAGTCAGAACTAAGATGACAAGGAGAAAGCAAGGCAGAGAAGGGTGGAAGATGGGTTCAGAGATCACCTTTATGATGACCAATGCATGACAGGTAAGTTAAGGACTTTAGCCTTTCTCTGTGTCCCCAGACTGGTGGAATCCACCCTTAGCTGTCCTTGCCTAACTTGGGTGGACACGTCCTTTAGCAGGGCCATGCACCTACCTTGGCCAGGCGTTCCCCCTGCTCCATAGGGACCTGTCTCTCTGCAGCACAGTCAGTTTTGTTCCCAAGAAGCAGAATAGCAACTCCATCTTCTGCTCCTTCCTGGCAATTAAAGAGGGTAGGATCAGGAGCACATCTCAGCCTCCCTTGGTTCACAGCCGGCCACACTGTCTAGACACATCCTGGAGCAGTGTGAAGGATGCCCACAGATTTGGGCTGATACCAAAACCTTAAATTCTTAAATGAGTTTAACAGCATTTAAGAAAGGGATTTTATTTTTGCTATTAAATCATCGGACCTGGTCTATTAAAGGGCAGAGCATTGGAAGAGTTCACTTTGTGTTCAACTCCAGAGATGCTCTGGCTGAACAAGGTGACATCCTGTTTTGTTCTGGTGTTTTTAAACACTGATTTTGTACATGACTGGAAATCTCTGACAAGCAGTTTGTAATAAGACACAAGTTACCTCCCATTTCCCAGGACTCAAAGGGGACTATTCTTGATTTATAAGTGTTATCAAAATCACTTTCAATCCTCTGCAGTGCTTTTGAATTGAAGTTGATCATTATCATCATGTTGCTATTAACAAATTACCCTAGGAAACAAATGTGGGAAATGTGAAACTGTCACTATTTGAATTTAAATCCTCCAAGAAAAACTATTTTTAACCAAAACCAAAGCAGAATGCTCTTTACAAAGGGTTTGGTCACCCCAAGATGTCCATCCCTAACCAGTGGCAGAGGGAGAAAACACTGATCTCAGAGTCACCTCCAGTTCCAAGACCTTGGGGACAGGACGAGGTTTCCCTGCTTCACCCACCTGGATGCAGCTCAGCCAGTACTGCACATCCAAGAAGGAATACTCGGATGTGATATCGTACATCAGCACAACCCCATCCGCCTTCCGGAAGAACTGCTTGGTGATGCTGTGGTACCTGCGTGCATTTAAAATGGTCATTGATATGGTCTGAGGAGGTTTTCCCTAGAAGAAATATGGAATCCCAGTGGAAAAGCACATGTATAAAAAAGGCAACCCAGATTTTGCTCCTCTGCTGATCATAGAGCCAGCACGAGCAGCCTGATGCTTATTTTTATCTTAATTACTTCCTTTATTATGCTCTATCACACCACGTACTGTACAGAGTCTGTCCTTAAACAACCCTCCTTTGCTTAGCAGAGCCAAGGACATCCATATCCTCCAAACTACCAGAATGAGGAATACCAGAGGTTGCTCTCTGTAAGCAGACAACTCAGCACTCACCTTTCTTGACCAGCTGAGTCCCACAGGCGGAGAGCAAAGCACTTGTTGTCCACGATAAAGCTTTTCACCTGATAATCCAGTCCTAGGAGACACAAAAAGGGATATCTCTGTACTATAGAGTTCATTCCTATGACAGGAGATGAATGGAGAAGGCACATGGTGCAGGTATGACCTAAGGTTGCAGCACAAGGGGGCTGGTCTCAAGTGAATCTCTGGCTTAGATCTTTAATGGCTGGGGTTTGGAGAAGGTCTCTGATCTCATGATGAATAAAACCAGGTTGCTTAAGAAAGGAGAATAGAAATGAAAGGCCAAGCAAAGAGAAAAGCACTAGGGACACTGGTATTGGTGCCCTAGAGTGAGCAACAAGGACCAGCATCGCCTGCTGCAGAGCATCCAGGTGTGTTAAGTCAGTGCTCCTATTTGGTCCTTGGTGACAGGTTGTGTAGCACACCTGATGTGAGCTGTAACATGCCTGTAATGATCACCAGGAGCTTGTGGAGTGGAGGAAAGGGAATTGCAATGGAGACCCAAGCGGGTGCAGAGCTGTGCTGGAGAGAAGCTGGAGGAGACCTACCTACGGTGGCAGTGAGGTGCGGGTTGAAGGTGTCGGCATGCAGCCGGTACAGGAACGATGTTTTGCCCACATGGGAGTCCCCGACAAACAGCACATTGTAGAAGTGATCTGGGTCCAGGGGGGCTTTAGGAGAACCCCTTGAGGCAGCTCCTGCCCCACCTGCAGTGACAGTCCCTGGCTCTCCTGGACTTGGCTCGCCTTCCTGCCTCGTTTTCCTTCCAACCTCCTGCTTCTTCCATTGATCAACATCGAGGTCTTTGCTCTCTTCTCCCAACGACTGCCTTTGAGGCTGCATGCTGGCTGCATCCCCCAGTGAGCTGCCTCCAAGGACCGTCCCCAGCTGATCATTCCCAGCATCTTCTTCCTGTAGGACCCTTGTGTGAAGGGGTGATGCTGGTGCCACCTCTTGTTTTGGAAGCTCAGCAGGCCCAGCAGCTGCATTCTCTGTTTCCATCATGTGTGGTGGCTTCTCTGCCTGTGCTGAGACCTGCCCCTGGAGCTCGTTTTGGGCTGCCTGTCCTGAAGCACCCAACAGCTGCACATCTGGAACGAGAACATCCTCCTGCATCACTGCTTCCAGTTTTAGTGTGCTGATCTGTAATGGCACCTTGGAGACTGGGAAGGTTGGTGCAGATGCACCATCATCATGGCCCTGCTTTAGCCCTAGAGCCTGAGTTTCCACTAAACTCCTCCCCCCTGCCTCCAGCCTCTCTCCCTGCCCCACTTCCAGACCTTGAGCTCCATCCAGAGGTCTCCCCTCTGCAGCAGCCCACTCTCCCTGTGGTAATTCCAGTGCCTGGGTATCCTCCAGGATCTGCCCATCAGGACCAGTGACTGCTTCCCGCTTCACTTCCGCACCAGGAGCTTTGGGAGCAGTGGCACGCTCAGGACACGAAGTGGCCTCAGCTGGGGGGGACACATGAGCACCAGCAGCTTCCCCACACCCTTCTGCAGTGTGAGCTACATCTGAGCCTGGAGTGCGGCTCTGCTCCCCTTCCCGCATCCCAGCTGCACCCGCATTTGCCTCTGGGCTCCCTCCTGAGCTTGATCTGAGCTCCTCTGGCCCTGTCAGTGGCTCCACACTCATATCAGTGCTCTGGGCCTCCAGCCCATCCAGGATTACAGCCTTGTCCTGTGCCTGCACACCCGCAGCAGCCCCCTCTCCCTGTCCAAATCCTGCTCCCTGCCGATCAAGCACAGAGCCCTGCTGCAGCCCGTGTTCACCCTGCCCTTCTTCCCCATTGTCATCCTCTTCCACAAGCTGCATGGCTGCATGGTCCCACCCTCCCTGGGCTGTTTCTGGGCTGTGACCCCCATGCAGCTCCATGTCTGCCCAGTCCTCTGCCTCCCTTTCCAGTAACTCTGCTTTACCGACCTGATCCAGAGGTTGCACATCTGGAGCCACGCTCCCTCCCTGCTCTGTATCCAGGGAGCTGACCTCACTCAGGAGCTGCTGATCTGCCTCTGGGGTCAGTTCGAGCTCATCCACTTCTGCAAGAGTGGCAGCAGTGCTCTGAGCCTGCAGCGTGTCCAGGATTGCAGCCTCTGCATGGGGCTGCACACCCGCAGCAGCCCCCTCTCCCTGCCTCACCGCATGGGGGTGAAGCACAGGCTCCTGTGGCAGCCCACTCGTACCCTGCTCTTGTGCACCATCCTCAGGCTCCTCCATGTGCTGTAGGGCTGCATGCCCTCCCCCTCCCTGGGCTGTTTCTGGGCTATGGCCCCCATGCAGCTCCATGTCTGCCCAGTCCTCTGCCTCCCTTTCCACTAACTTTGCTTTACCGACCTGATCCAGGGTTTGCACATCTGGCACATCTGGAGATACGCTCCCTCCCTGCTCTCTCCCTGGGGAGCTGACCTCGCTCCAGAGCTCCAGATCTGCCTCTGTGCTGCCTCCTGGGGTCACTTTGACCTCATCCATCTCTGCAAGCATCTGCACACTTGCATCAGTGCTCTGGTCCTCCAGGCTGTCCAGGCTTTCAGCCTCCTCCCATGGCTGCACGCCTGCAGCAGCCCCCTCTCCCTCCCTGATGGCCACTCCATTGGGGTGAAGCACAGGCTCATGTGGCGGCCCACACTCACTCTGCCCCTCTTCCCCATCCTCATCCTCCTCCACAAGCTGCAAGGCTGCATGGTGCTCACCTCCATGGAGGGTTTCAATACTAGGACCCCCATGCAGCTCTACATTTGCTGTGGAATCCTCTACCTCCAATTCCACTAACTCTGCTTCATCCACCTGATCCAGAGGTTGCACACCTGGAACCACGCTCCCTCCCTGCTCTGCACCCAGGGAGCTGACCTCACTCAGCAGCTGCAGATCTCCTTCAGTGTTCCAGCCTGGGGTCTCTTTAACCTCATCCATCTCTGCAAGCACCTGCAGACTTGCACCAGTGCTCTGGTCCTCCAGCCTGTCCAGGCTTTCAGCATCCTCTTGTGGCTGCATGCCTGCAGCAGGCCCCTCTCCCTGCCCAAGTCCTGCTCCCTGTGGATCAAGCACAGGCTCCTGGGGCAGCCCATGCTCACCCTGCTCTTGTGCACCATCCTCATCCTCCTCCAGGAGGTGTACCACTGTATGACCCTCCTCTCCCTGGGGTGTTTCTGGGCTGGAACTCCTATGTAGCTGCACACCTGCCCAGGAGTCCTTTGCCTCCACCATTTCCAGTGCCTGAGCCTTAACTGGGAAGAGCCCACACAGGTCTGGGCTCCCCAGAGACGCTTCTGTTGAGGAAGGACCCTCGCCATGCACCACAGCAGCACCCATGTCCTCCCCCAGCCCCAGCTCTGATCGATCTCCCTCCTCCAGGGGCTGCACATCTGGAGCCACGCTCCCTCCCTGCTCTGTCCCCACGGGGCCAGCCTCAACCCATGGCTGCAGAGCTGCCCCCCCCTCTGCCCGCAGCTGCACATCGTCGGCTCTGCTGCTCTGCGCCTCCAGCGGTGGCACATCTGTTCCTGCTCCCCCTTCCAGCACCACTGCCACCGGCACCTCTGCACCGACACCCCCGCCTTGCTCCGCATCCCCCCGTGCACGCTCACCCTGTGCTGCTTGCACCTCCCTTTCCTCAGGTCCAGCTCCATGCTCAGCTTGGCCTGGCAGCACCTCAGCACCCAAGGGTTCTCCTTGGGGCTTCGCCTCTGCGCTGACAGGATCTTCCTCCAGCATCCCGGGGCCAAGAGCCGCAGTCACCTCGGGATGGGCGCTGTGCCCCTGGGCTGCTCCTGTTCGTGCCTCACCCTGGGGTGGTGGCTCTGGCTCCAGGAGCTCTCCTGCCTTCATTTCCAGTTCCTTGGAGAGCCCCAGTGGTGGCTGAGCCTCTTCCCCCAGCCCCGTGCCCAGGGGCTGAGCTGCAGCTGGGTGAAGCTCATCCATGCCAAGGCACTGGTGCACAACCAGACCTGCCTCCCCAGCCCCTGCTGACCCCAGACCTGCCTCCAGGGTTTCTCCCTGCCTTAATGCCACTTCCTCAGCTGCTCCCAGGAGCTGTGCCTTTTCCCAGCTAGTTTTTTCCTGCATCCATCCTGCTCCCTCCACCTCCATCAGCACCTGCTCTGCTGCCTCCGTGTTCTCTCCCAGTGCTCCCTGGAGATGCTCTGCCACCTTTAGCATCGCCTCCTTCACACCACCACCCCTTCCTTGTGGGAATAACATCCTTTGTTCCTCCTCTCCCTGCTCTGGCTCCTGAGCCCTGTGGTGCCCAGCTCCCGTGGACGCACCAGCCTGTGGCACATCTGGACCTGTGCCTGGTCCTTCTTCCATGTCTCCTTCAAACAGCTTGTGACCGGTGTGACCAGAGAGGGTCTCCTGTTGCACCCTGGGGGTTGTTCCATGTGCTGTGCCTCCCTCCAGCCCTGTTTGGGGCTCAGCATCATCCTGGGGGTGATGTGCGGTGTTTGCTGGAGCAGGGGGTGCACCTGGTGCCTGTGGCTTCAGCTGTTTGCTCAGGGCCGCTGTTGCATCATCCACCTCTCTTAGCAAAGAGCTCTGGTCAGAGAAGCATTCCTCTTTCAGACATTCTGGGAAGGGGTCCTCTTCCACAGAGCTCGCTCCCTGCGGGGCTCCCAAAATGCTTATTTCTGCAGGCAGCATCTCCCAAACCCTGGAAAGGGCAGAAAATGGAGAGGGTCAGCTCAGTCCCCAGCTCCCTCTCATACTCCTGGGCCAGTACCAGGGGGCCTCTGCTCTGCCACCTCACCCCATCCCTCTCCAGACCCACTTTTATGGGGATACTGGAGGCTTGCACAGGCAGTGATGGTGACAGGGGAAAGGGGGATGCCCACTCAAGGAGCCAGATCCATCGCCATATCCTGTCTGGGAAGTGAGCCTGTCCCTTCCCAGTCTCCATGTTCACATCACTGGAGATGAAAAGGGAACTTTCAACCAGATACAGCAAGTGCCTGAGCCAATGGAGTGATGCAGGGTGACAAACTGGGGTCAGCTCGCTTGATGCTGCGAGGGCTGGAGCAGCTCTGCTCTGGAGCCAGGCTGAGAGAGCTGGGCTGGGGCAGCCTGGAGAAGAGAAGGCTCCTGAAGGGGAGACCTTAGAGCAGCTCCAGTGCCTAAAGGGGCTGCAGGAAACCTGGAGAGGGGCTTGGGACAAGGGCCTGTAGGGACAGGCCAAGGGGAATGGCTTGAACCTGCCCGAGGGGAGACTGAGCTGAGCTCTTAGGCAGAAGCTCTTCCCTGTGAGGGTGCTGAGGCGCTGGCACAGGGTGCCCAGAGAAGCTGTGGCTGCCCCATCCCTGGCAGTGCTCAAGGCCAGGTTGGACACAGGGGCTTGGAGCAAGCTGCTCCAGTGGAAGGGGTCCCTGCCCGTGGCAGGGGTTGGAGCTGGAGGAGCTTTAAGGTCCCTTCCACCCTAAACCAGTCTGGGATTCTATGAAGGGTCCTGATCTCCAGATGGCTGGGAGGGAAAGGAACACTGAAAGGACTGAACATGGTGTTTGCCTGGGGCAGGAGGAGGACTTGCAGACCTCGGGGGCACAAGCTGAAGCAGCAGGCGTTACCCAGGACCCCTTACACTTGGTGGGTGCTCTTGGCTTTGGGCTCGCTGCTCTGGGAGTCCCTCCTCATCTGCATCTTCTTGCTCTGCTCCAGACTCATCTGCGGCAAGCAGGGTGGGAACAAGAGAGGAAAGTGCTTGATGAGGGGGTGCACCCACCTGAAACAATGCCAAGCTCCCCAGCAGGTATCGAGATGTACCCACAAGAAACCTTGGGGGTGCTTTCCCCCCCTCCCTTCCCACACATCTCTATGGCACCATATTGACCCAGTGAGAAAGCTTTTAGGGGAGTCGCTCCCCTGCTGCAGAAGCACCCCGTGCTCTTGGGCTTCCCAATGGTCCCAAACCAAACAGCACAATGCTCTGGAGCATGGACACCTCACCCCATCCCCACTGAAGACCCCAAATCCCAGCTGAAGTACCTGGGGGGACGCGGGTGTCTCGCTGGGCAGCTCTGCCCCTGCTCTGTCCCTGCAAACACAGAGCACAGGGATCAAAATGGCAGTTACATCCTCTCCACCACATCCACCCCTGCCCCAGGCTGTCCTCAGCCCCACAAGCAGGGGTGGGCTGGAGCAGGACAGCTTTTGGATCAGTGCTGGTTAGGTCTTTCTGAGTAGGGACATCCCCATCTCTGCAGGCACTGCCCTCAAAGAGATATGGTCCTGATAGACCTGGCTTTTTACTGATGCTTTTTGCCCCAAGCCATGGCTAAGTCTTCACAGACCACATAGATGGGGCCCTCAGTGACATGATTTAGTGGTGGCCTGGGGAATGGTTGGACTTGATGATCCTAAAAGTCTTTTCAAACCTGGCTGATGCTATGATGCTGTGATCATACGCTGCACTGTGGAGACCACTGAAGCTCTGTGAAGCCTCAGACCCATCAAACAGCACTAACCCCAGGAGGAAACCACGTGTGTGCACACGGTCACTCAGCCACTCACCCCGGCTCCCCCATGTGCTCCCAAGCCACCGCAGCCCTCACTGCCCGCAGGCGCCCGTGGGTCTGCTGGAGCTGCTGGTGGAGATGCTGAAGGTGCTGCTCCAGCACTCGCTTGCTCTCCTCCAGCTGCTGGTTCTCGGTGCTGGCAGCTTCCTGCGAGCTGCAGAGGCTGTGGCACCGTGTCTCCAGCTGTGGGATGGCAACAAGGACACTGAGACCTGCCAGGACCCCCGGGCAGAAAGGGAACTGATGGACACCCAGCTCCTCTAGACCTGGGGCCGTGGGGAGAAACCCAGCCTGGGTCCTTTGGGGATGGAGAGGAGCGTGGGGATAGGAGTGGCAGAAGTGGTGATGGAGGTTCAATGTGAGAGCTGCATCAGGAGCTGGTGGGGACAGACTGGGCTCAGCTCTATAGCACAGTGCTGCTGCTGCAGCCCGGCCCAGAGACCCCGCATGCAGGAAGGGGGACAGGGAGCTGGGGCCGGCTCACCTCCAGCTGCGCTGTGACCAGGCGCTGCACCTCCTCCTCGCTGGCATCCAGCACTCGCTGGAGCTCCGCAGCCCGCTGGGGGCTCGGGGCCGCGCTCTGGGACGGCAGCAGGGACATCAGCACCCGGTGACCCGCCTGGGAGCTGCCAGGGGGTCTGGGGGAGGGGAGGGGAGCGGAGCGGAGCAGCCGGGACCCACCTCCTGCTGCAGGCGCTGCTGCTCCCGCTGCATCCGCTGCTCCAGAGCCCCGAGGAGCCGCTGCACCTCCCGGCCGTGCTCGGCCACGCTCCTGCCGGGGACAGCGAGTGCGATCAGAGCCCCCTGCTCTGGGTGCCGGCCCCTGGGCGCCCACACTGCCCGCAGGGGCTCCCCCAGCAGGGATGTGCCCCGCAGCCGGGTTCCAGCGCTTTGGCCGTCCCGTGTGTGACTGCAGAGGGAGCCCGATCCCAGACGGCAGCTCCCTGCGGACACTGCTCCAGCCGCTGATGGAGCTGCTGGGAACACCCAGGGTTCTCCCTCCTTGGGTGGCCCTGGCCCCATCCTTCCCGTCCCACCCCTCCCTGCTGCCCAGGCCTGACTCACTTGTTCAGGGACTCCTCCAAAGCCTCCTTCTTGCTCCTCACTTCCTGGATGCGGTGCCTCACCTTGGCCACAAAGTCCTCCTGGTTGTCCAGGAGCTGGGGTTCATCCTGCCGGAGCTGCCGCCAGAGCTCCCAGACCTCCTGTCTGCAGGGAGAAGGGTGTTCTGTGTGAAACTGCCTCAAACTCCCCCCCAAGCAGGCCAGCTATAGGGCCCTGGGTCACCATGTGGGGTACTGAGTGCCCCTGCACTGGGCACTGGGGAGGCCGCACCTCGAATCCTGTGTTCAGCTCTGGGCCCCTCACTACAGGAGAGACCTTGAGGGGCTGGAGCGGGGCCAGAGAAGGGCAGCGGAGCTGGGGCAGGGCCTGGAGCACAGTGTGATGGGGAAGGGCTGAGGGACCTGGGGGGTTCAGTGTGGAGAAGATAAGGCTCAGGGGGGACCTGATGGCTGCCTCCAACTGCCTGAGGAGGATGGAGCCAGGAGGGGCTGTGCTCTGCTCCCAAGGAACAAGGGATGGGACAAGAGGAACCGGCCTCAAGCTGCACCAGGGCAGGTTTAGATGGAGCTGAGGAACAATTCCTGCCCCAGAGGGTGCTCAGGCATTGGAACAGGCTGCCCAGGGCAGGGCTGCAGGCACCGTCCCTGCAAGTGTTCACACAGCGTGGAGACGAGGCCTCAGTGCCATGGGTTAGGGGTGGCCTTGGCAGTGCTGGGGTAAGGGTTGGACTGGATGGGATTAAAGGGCTTTCCCAGCCTGGGTCATTCTAAGATTTAGCTGACACTGTTAAGGATGTGTGGTCCTGGGGGACAGATGAGCACGGGGGTGACCATGATCCTGTCCTGGGGCCAAAGGCACCTCCAAGTCACTTCTGGGCTCACTCCCTCACTCCTGCCCAAGCCTTTCCCTGTCTACCCCCTTCCTGCAGGACACCCATGGGTGCTAATCAGGGCAGCTTACTCCTCAGAGATGTTGTCCGTGCCCAAGTGGCCCATAAAGGCAGAGAACTGCCTCCGCTCCTCACTGTCCCCCTCCTCCAGCGCCGGGCTGGGAAGGACCAAGGGGACCCTCCGGGATGCTGTTTTCTGCCGGCGATGGCCCCTGACAGCTTTCTGGGAGCTCAGGAACTGCCCTGTCAACAGAGACCCCAAACCCTCAGTGCCAGGCCAGGCTGACAGCAAAGCCCCAAAGCCAACACTTCCCACCCCGTGGCTTCGATGAGTCCATTCTGGCACAAGAGGACCTCTCACCAGGGAGCCATGGGATGAGACCTGGATGTGGGGACAACTTTTGGGCCATCCTTTGCCACCCAGCAAGGGCGGTGTTTCAGAAATCCCCTGGGAAAGCACTAGGGCCATGTCCAGGATCAGCTTGGAGGCGTCATGCCGGCACTTACAGAGTCCAAAAGTGAATTCCTCAGTCCTCAACCGCCCGTTGCCGCCCGCATCCAGCCCATTGAAGACGAGCTCCAGCTCCTCCGTGCTGCATGGGAGATCTTCCTCCTGCAATCTCTAAGAACAAAGCAAAGCAGGGAACACCCCTCCCATCACCCATTCTCCATGCACCCCAGCAGCATCTGACCTGAGGAGACATCCCCATCCCTTACCTGTATGTCCGAGCGGGTGATGAACCCCTCCTGGTCCTTGTCCTGCTCCCTGAGGAGCTCCTGCACCCTCTGCACTATTTCAGCTGCCCATGAGGGCTCCTTGCTGGGGCTGGGGGCTGCTGCCGGGGCCTCACCAAAGCCCTTGCGTCGGCTGGAGCCCAAGCGCCGGCTCTTGGTGCCTGCCCGGCGCTCGGCCATGGGCCCCAGCTCGGTCCTGTCCCGGGGACACTGATGGTCGTTGACCCTTGGGCAGCTCCTCCTTGCTGGAGACCTTGGCAGGAGATGGTGCAGTGGGATTGAGCTGGAAACGCGCTTTATCTGCAGTACAGGGCCCCTGGGTTCGGCAATAGGAAGAGCAGCGCAGCACAGATGGAGCCTTGACCAGAGCGAGCAACGGCTGCGAGCCCAGCACCCACTGGGTGAGCGCCTCCTCCTGCCCCCACCCATCCCACATTTCCCATGGAGGATGCGCAGGGCACCGGCACCGGGGGAAACCCAGGAGGTGGCACCAGTGAAGGAGCAGCCACAGCGATGCTGGGCACAAGGGGCCGGTCCCAGCCGCCTCCTCAGAGCCCAGCAGCAGCCTTTGGTCGTCCTCCCCCAGCCTCCACAGCCGTGAGGCACCTGGGGAGCGGTGTGAGAGCTGGGGAGGCCTTCAGGAAGCCTGGGTGATGGCAGCGGCACCAAGAGCCGCTGGGCCCATGAGGGGCTCTCTGCATGGCAAAGCCAAAACCCAAGGGAAGGAGCCCACAGCTATGGGGAGCTGTGACGCAGAGCGGGGCCATGCTGCAGCCCCACTTTCTGCTCCCAGCCTGGAGAGACCCCCGGCTGCTCCAGCCCTGTGCTGAGTCCCAGCCTGCACTGGAAACACAGGAATAGGCCCCCAAAACATCCCCTTAAATCAAGAGGGCTTTGTGGAGCTGCTGGAGTCCCACAGGATCCTTGTGTGGGGGGAAGAGGGGGTGGACAGAAACCATCTGCCTTTATGGTGGTGCCAGCTTCTAAGAGCAGAAGTGGGAGCTCGGGGGGGCACTGGGGCTGTTTGGGGCATGCAGAATCCCCCAGTTACCTGCTCCAACCCAGCACAGCCCCAGCAGAGGCACAGAACAAGCAGGGAGGGTGGGATGGGAAGCACGCACCCCCCCGCCCGTGGCATCACCGACTCCCAGGGACCTGATCCCATCCCCATCACCCCACGCTGCTCCCAGCCATCAGTACAGGCCCATCAGCCACAGTCCCCCCACAGGCAGCAGAAGCAGCCCATCCGCAGGGTCACCAGCATCCCAAGCCCCCCAATCCCAAAGCAGCTCTGCGAAGGCACCACTGGCATCATCGGGAATCACAGCCGACATCCCCATCCTTTCCCTGCTCGCAGCGGTCTGGAGGGTGTTTGGGGCAGGGGAAAAGCAGCAGAGAAACAGCAAGTGGTATAAGAGGCCAAATAACCCAAAGGACAAGACTCTCTCTAGCCCACATATACAGCATCCTACCTACAGGACAAACCTGCACACACCACAACCCACAGAGGCTCTTGAGCCCCAGTGGTTGGAGCTCATCCCACTGTGCTGCTCACACTGGTGGGTTTTCCAAGGCTCCCTTTGGAATCACTAACTGGGCTTTAAAGCCAGCACCAAACCCACTGACTGCCCATGGCTTGCACCCACTCTGGTGTGCAAGGGGACAGGGGAATTAGGCAAGGTATGAGCATTTTTGCTCTCCTTTAGCTGCAAAATGGGGAAAAGATCCCAACAAGAGGAAATCCAACCAATAACTTTAGGTTATAACCAGAACTAAGCCCCGAGCTCCCAGCACAGGGCTGAGCTCCCAGGGCAGGAGGTGCCTGTCTCTCCCCATCTAAACTGGTTCAGTCCCTTGCTGGGAACCGGCTGCACCAGTGCCCTGCCCCATCGCACCCACAGCCACAGCCCAGCCCTGCTCTGCTGCTCTTCCACCTGAGGAAGCAGCTCAGGTGCTGCTGCTCCTCCTGGGTATGACCCAGCCCTGCAGTGCCAAGAGCCCTTTTCCCAGCCCCAAGGAGAAGCCAAGCAAGCCTTGGGGTTGAATACAGGGGGGAAAGGAGGAGAAGAACCCAATCCTCCTCTCAGCCCCACCGTGTGAACCCGAGCATCCTTGCTCCGTGCTGAGGCTGGGATGGGAGAGCAGCAAAACACAACCTGGAACTGCAAGCTTTCCATCCACTGTCAGCTGCAGGAAGCCCATCACCACTTCATAGAATGATACAATCATAGAATAGTTTGGGTTGGAAAGGAGCTTAAGATCATCCAGTTCCAACCCCTCTGCCATGGGCAGGGACACCTCACACTAAACCATGGCACCCAAGGCCTCATCCAACCTGGCCTTGAACACTGCCAGGGATGGAGCATTCACAACCTCCCTGTGCAACCCATTCCAGTGCCTCACCACCCTAACAGGAAAGAATTTCCTCCTTAGATCCAATCTAAACTTCCCCTGTTTCAGTTTGAACCCATTACCCCTTGTCCTACCACTACAGTCCCTGATGAAGAGTCCCTCCCCAGCATCCCTATAGGCCCCCTTCAGACACTGGCAGCTGCTCTGAGGTCTCCCCACAGCTTCTCTTCTCCAGGCTGAACAGCCCCAACTTTCTCAGCCTGGCTCCATACAGGAGGTGCTCCAGCCCCTGATCATCCTCGTGGCCTCCTCTGGCCCTGTTCCAACAGTTCCATGTCCTTTTTATGCTGAGGACACCAGAACTGCACACAATGCTCCAGGTGAGGTCTCACGAGAGCAGAATAAAGGGGCAGGATCACCTCCTTGGACCTGCTGGTCACACACACAGTCCTCCCCACTGGGAGAGGCTGTGCAGGGCTGGAGTCACCCATGTGGGTGCAAACTCCAAACCTAGATGCCAAGCTGCCTCCTGCACAGCAGAGCCAGAGCTGGGCTGCGCTCAGAGCCCCCCACACAGGGACCAAGGGGTATTTGCTGATTTATGTGTCACTTCCTCCATTGTCACTGCTGTGACAGACAGGAGGTGACAGCAGAGGGGGCTGACGTAAGGGGAAGAGATTAAAAGGGCTAAATCTGGAGGGCTTGACTCAGCAGCAGCTAAAAGGCTGTGTGATTGCGCTCTGCAAGCATCTCAAGGGGCACTGGCATGTGTGGGGTCACCCAACACAAGTGCAGAGACTTGAGGGATCCTAGGTTGAACAATACACAAGGTTGTTACCATCAAAGCTTTGTATTCCCCTGGATCCTCTGCAAATGAGGGCATTTATGGGTCTGGAGCAGCTCCTGTATGGAGCCAGGCTGAGAACACTGGGGCTGTTCAGCCTGGAGAAGAGAAGCTGCGTGGGGAGACCTCAGAGCAGCTTCCAGTGTGTGAAGGGGGCTACAAGGATGCTGGAGAGGGGCTCTTCATCAGGGACTGCAGTGACAGGACAAGGGGTGATGGGTTCAGACTGAAACAGGGGAAGTTCAGGTTGGATCTAAGGCAGAAGCTCTTCCCTGTGAGGGTGCTGAGGAGCTGGCACAGGGTGCCCAGAGAAGCTGTGGCTGCCCCATCCCTGGCAGTGCTCAAGGCCAGGTTGGACACAGGGGCTTGGAGCAAGCTGCTCCAGTGGAAGGGGTCCCTGCCCGTGGCAGGGGTTGGAGCTGGAGGAGCTTTCAGGCCCCTTCAACCCAACCCATTCCATGATTGCTCCCATTAGCCCTAACTTGATCTCACAGCCCACGTACAAGCCTTGCTCTGCCCTTGGAAGCAGCAGCTGATGGTGGGGGCATCCCTGTCCCCCAGAGAATCCCAGCCCCAGCAGCAAATTTCAGTCCCACGCAGGGCTCGCTGTTGTGTGTTATCTGCAGTGCCTCCGCCTGTGCTTGCTTGTCCAGGTCCCACAGCACAGGTCACTCACTGGCCTGGGCACCCAGCCCTTTAGAGGAGGAGGATGTGACCAGCTTGCCCATAGCTAATGGCCATTTGCCCCATAAGACAGTGCTCTGAGGGCTGGGAGCAGCACTCCAGCATCACATCAGGGAAAGGGAACAGCAAAGGCAGCAGAGGAGCCTGCATTCCCACAGTGAGATCCCACACAAGCAGCAGTGGCTGCCACTGGGTACATGGTGCAGCACCACGAGCAGGGTTAAGCACATGCGTTGGGATGAGGTTTTACCCCTCTCAGCCCTCACCCAGCTCCTCATCCCCCTGCTCTGACCCTTCATGCTACACCCAAGGCTGTTCCCTTTGCATGCTGGCTGCAGCCACCCCACTCCCAGCACAGTCATTCCCATCAACCAGAGACACCAGTTCCCATACACAAGGCAAGTGTTTATTCAGAGTCAAACAGGTATTTTCCCTTCCCCCACATAGTTAATAGCCTTTTTTATATAAATAAACATTAAGTGCTGGGAGCTCGCCAGCTTCACCGACAGCAAAGTGCATCGTGGTGCAAGGCAGGAGGTTGACCCTGGCCCTTTTCTACCTGGAACCATCTTGCACCGGTTTCCAGAGTCCAAACCCAGCAGAGCAGGGGATGAACCCTGTGAAAGTGCTGAGACCTGACAGTGTCGAGTCCCCTGACCCTTCGGCACTGGAACAGAGCAGCCCTCGCTCCAGGACATCCCTTGGTCCCAGAGGTGGCCGAAGCCACTCGCTCTGCAGAGCCAGGTGAGGGTTTTCTCCCCACCCCAGCCCCAAAGGAGGAAAAAGTCCAGGAAAACAGGCAAAAAAAAAAAGCTACAATTTCTTCTTTCAGTATCATCCCTGCTGGGGAGCAGGACCCCGTCCTAGAGCAAGCCAACAGCAGGAACAGGAGCTCCCCAGCGCAGTGTCAGTGTTGAAAGAGGCAGGAACACAAGGGCAAGCAGCACCACTCAACAAGGCAAGGACAGGAAGGGGAGGCTTGGGTCAGCAGCATCCAGGGGACCCCAAAGCCTCCCACAGGCAGCGTTGGTCCTGCACTGAGCGCAGCACTGGGGACCTCCAGCAGCTCTGTCACTATCTGCAGCCTGTCCGATGGTGACACCAGCAGTGAGTCACCCCAAGGAAGGGCTGTCCAGGGAACAGTTTCCTCTCCCAGGCAGCCCCTACATCACTCTTGCACACATGGACAAGGGCTTGACGCTGCTGGGTCCATCCTGCTGGGAAGAGGGTCACCACCACGTGCCAGCAACTGGGGTGTCCTCTGGCCAGGCTCTCGCAGAGCTCTGCAACCTACACCAAGGACCCTTTCTTGAGGATACCTGGTGCCACCAAGTGGCTGGGACACAAGTGTCCCCCATGGCCAGCCATCAGGCAGGAGAAGGATCACGGCTGGACAGGAAGATGGTGCGAGGATGATGCTTGGTCCCACCAATGCTGGGCAAAGGACACACTTCCTTCTCTGCAGGCAGGGTAATGCCTTAGTGCCATCAGGCCCCTTTCAGTTCTCCTCCATCCCCTCTGCTGTAGCTACAAGCCACAACATGGGCTACTCATACATTGCACACAGTGAAGGTCCCTCGGGACCCCAGACTACTCATAAATAGGGAACTACAGACTCTACATTGCTTCATAGACAGCTTACACAGTACAGAGTGGGGGGAAAGAGCCATGGACACCCCCAGGGAACATCAGCAGCTGTCCCCGATGGCAGAGGAGCCGAGCACCACGTCACGGCTTGGGCTTCTCAGGGATGATCCTTCGCTTGGAGCTGTAGAAGTCTAGAGGGCAGAAAGAGAGGGTTGGGAAGTGCCTCCAGCCTGTTGGAACCAATGGGGCAGGAAGAGGGAGATGTTCCCAGGGAAGCTCCCCAAAACCCAGCCCGGGTGGGCTCCACCTTACAGCCACCCCCCAGAGACCCCTCAGAGAAGAGCTGGCCACCCTCACTTCTGTTTGGTCTCGCCTGCATTTCCACTCCAGGCCCTGATCTTACAGGACAGGATCAGACCACGGCAGCTGAAGGTGAACAACTATTTTGAGGCACCCACAAGCCCCATATGAGGGCCCTGCCTAAGCCCCAGCATCCAGAAGACACCCAGTCTGCATCCTTTCCCCTTGGCAGATGGGCTCTACTCGCCCAGGAGAGGTGCAGTGGAAGCTGCTCCCTTCCCATGCCCAGGAGCCAGGCAGGGCTCCTGCACCCAAGCTCCCCCATCCATCCCTATCACAGACCCAACCGCAGGGTGCCCCCCCCCCAGCACTCACCTTTGATGGTGGCCTGCCCACGCTTCAAGCTCCGGGGGGCACCAGCCCTGTGAACCCCCGAGCTCTGCTGAGATCCCTCGGGACAAATCCGGCCAAGGGGCTCGCTGGAGGGGGCCAAGGAGCTCCTGCTCTTGCCGCTGGTGGCCCTGACCAGGCTGTGGAGCTCCTGGGGCGGCTCCTCAGGCAGGAAGACCCTCTCCCACTCGAAGCATCCTTCCAAGGGAGTCTCCGTCTCGAAGTCAAAGTTCCAGCGCTGCTGAGCTTCCTCCAGGTTCTGCTTCAAGAGGCTCTCCAAGTCCTGCTGGAGCTGCTGGTGGTCCACGGGGCCAAAGAGGTTCCTGCAGACCTTGCTGTTGCACGGCATCTGCCCGGCCTTGCTCTGGGACAGGGGCATCGTGGTGGCTAGGAGGGAACAGAGCAAGTTACTGGGGTGCTGGACACGCCACCAGCAAGCCCGAGGGCCAGCGCGTGGTCCACCAGAGCAATGCATGCAGTAAGCAAGGTGGGACAATGAGGGCTGGGCTCTGCACTGAGGCAGCGTGGAGAGAACCCCCATCTGCCCAGGGCTCCTCTGGGGTTTTGGTGGGGTCTCAGAGGCTTGAGCATGCCCGGGGTCAAGCACAGCCTGGTACAGAATCAAACCAGGCTGGAAAAGACCCTTAAAATCATCAAGTCCATCATCACAGGAATGCTGCAGGAGGATGGGGAAGGAGCACATGCCGATGGTCCCCCCTCCAGCAGGTAAAGCCCTGCCAGGGCACAGCATCCAGCATCGAGGCTGCAATCGGTTCCATCACAACCTGCTCCATTCCCCTTCCACACAGGCACAAGGCAAGTTGGCACATGGGCGAGTGAAGCAACAGGATGGTTTTCTAACTCATTTCTTCACCTCCAGAACCCAGGCTCAGTGGCAAGGGAGCCTTTGAGCAACTGCAGGAACATGCCACAAGCTTGACCACTGTTAACCACCCTCCTAATCTGCAAGAAGCTGTTGGGTAACCAGAGACACAACCCTGCTTGGGTTTGGTTTTGTTTTGCTTCAGATCAGTGCCAAAAGCCTTGACCCTGGCAGCGAGCGGCAGAGCCTTCCCCCCAAAGCCCCCGCTGCCATGAGGAACCTTGTCACAGGGCAGAGCAAGCAACGCTCTGGGATGGGGCAGCTTTTGGAGCCAAGGCTTAACCCTGCTTGGCCAGCATTGAATCTGGCACAGGGTGCCCAGAGAGGCTGTGGCTGCCCCATCCCTGGCAGTGCTCAAGGCCAGGTTGGACACAGGGGCTTGGAGCAAGCTGCTCCAGTGGAAGGGGTCCCTGCCCGTGGCAGGGGTTGGAGCTGGAGGAGCTTTAAGATCCCTTCTAATGCAAGCCATTCTGTGCTTTAAAACCAGATTCACAAACAACAGCATGCAAGACCACCTTCCTTATGGCCCACTCAACCCAGGGCCACACCAGACTCCCAGGCTCGCCCCCAGCCCCAAACATCCCCAGGGATGGGGGCTCAGCCTCCTGCAGGAAGGATTCTGCCCTGGCTCATTCCCAGACATGCCAGTGGACACTGGAGAGCCTCCAGCCCGGCCAGGACGTGCCCCACATCCATCCCTGCTGCCACCCGGCCCCTCTGCCCTGCCCCAGCCTGGCCCCGCTCCCCACCCAGACGGAGCATCCCGGGTAAAAATAGAAATCCAGCTTCCTATGCGGTGGCAGGCGGAGCACAGGCAGGGTGACCTCACTGCGGGGCAAGTCCCAGCATGTCCAGGCAAGCCCTGGCAGAGAGCAGGCAGGGGATGGGCTCTGACACCCTGACCAGGCACCCCGCAGCCCTCCCTGGCCTTGTCAGGCACCAGGCTCCTACTCCTCCGATGCCACCTGGAGCCCCGAGACAGCAGCTTCACCCCGGCTCATGGCTGCAGACCGCCGGGGCCACCCCAAGGGAAGGCACAGACCCTGGGCACCGTCCCCTCCATGGGCCGGCATCACCTGCAGCAGCCTCTGCAGAGCTGCGAGGCTCCCCCAGCTCACCTGAGAGCCCCAAGGCTCCATCAAGGAGGTGCTGCAGGTGCAGGGCTGTGCGGGAGCCTCGCCCCGATGAGGGCACGCCCAGGGTGGACCATCACCACCCCGCAGGCACCTGCAGCGACCCGGACCAGTTACACCAGTCGGGGAAGGGCCGGGTGCAGGAGGAGCCGCAGCCGCCGAGAGCGCCTCTCTCACGGCACCGATGAGCCCGCGGGGGGCCCGCAGCGGCTCCGGAGCCCCCCGCAGACACCGGGGATGCTCCGCGGCGGGGCCGCGCCCGCTCCGCTCCCGCACCGCCAGGGGGCGAGCACGGCCCGGGGCTCCCGCACCCCCCCCCCCCTCCCCTCCCCTCCCCTCCCCTCCCCACCGCGGCCCCGGCCCCGCTCCCTCCGCAGCGCTACGGACGCGGCCACCGGGGCGGAGCCGCCGCCCGCTCCCGCTGAGCGCTTCCCCCGGGCCAGCGGCACCCCCCGGTGACACCGGCACGGAGGGAGCGGGGGAGCGGAGCCGCGGCTGCCCCCGCCCAGCCCCACCGCACCGCACTCACCGTCGCGTCGCGTCTCCCGGCAGCCGGTGCTCGCCGCCCTTCTTTATACCGGCCGCGGGGCGGGGCCTCGCCGCTGCTCCCCGCTCCCACCGGGCCTTCCCCGCCCCGCCCCGGCCGGTCCCTGCCCCCTGAGTCCCGGCTCCCGTTCTTGGGCAGGGGGGGGAAGTGGGGAGAGGGGAGAGCCGGGACCCCCCTCACCGGGGAGACAGGGACCCCCGTGCTACGGGGTGCAGGGACCCTGCACCAGGGGGTACAGGGATCCCCCGTTGGAGGTACAGGAAACCCTGCACCAGGGGGGTACAGGGATACCCCGTTAGGAGGTACAGGAAACCCTTCCTGGGGGAGGGTGCAGAGATCCCCCCATCAGGGGGTGCAGGGAAGCCCTTCCGAGGGGAATGAAAGGACAGCAGGGGATACAGGGAACCCCTTCCTAGGAGGGGTGCAGGGACCTCCCCCATTGGGGATACAGGGAGTCCCTTCCTAGGGGTTGCATCGACCCTCACATCAGGGGATGGAGGCACCTGCCCCTTAGAGGATACAGGGACCCCTCGATCAAGAGGTTCAGGGGTGCCCCCAGGAGCCCTATAGAGCAGCACTTTATCTGGCTGGAGGAGGGGGTATTCCCCCACCCGGGCTTTCCTGTCTACTGGGCCCCTGTGGGAAGGGGTGACGCAGCCCCTTTGGGTGCCCACCCCAGGATGATGCTCCCCTGTCCCATGGCACTGCCCTGGCCCTATGGGCTGCTCTGGTCTCCCCCGGGTTTTCTCCCCAGGGCCTGGCTCTGCTTTTCCAGCTGTGGCCAGAGCAAAGTGCTTTGGGAAGGAGCTGCTGGTCTCAGCCCGGGCAGGGAACAAGCCCATGCATGTCCTGCAGGAGCCCGCAGGCAGGATCTGGGGGGGGATCTGTGGCTTATCTGGAACACCCACCCGAGTCCACAGGCGGGGGTGAACCCGGAGCGGCTTCTGCTGGGGTTCACCTGTGGGGCTGGAGGGCACCAGCCCCTGTGCCTGGTCCATGGGTCCGTCCCTGCCCCGCAGAGCACAGGCTGGTGGCCTCGGTGCCAGTACACGGAGGGGGGGGCTGTGCTCTGCATCCCCCTCCCAGCACGGCATAAACTGCCCGGGTACCGCGGGCATCACCCCCCCAGGGCTGCAACCACAGCGAGCTCCCTGGAGCACCGGCAGTGACGGCTCCCTCCCCGGGGGCAAAGACCCGGTTGAAGTGGTCCCTTGGGAGTGCGAGGCACCCTCAAAGGCCCCTGGAGCCGCGGCGCTGAGCAGGACCCTTGGCATGCACCCACCCCCGGGCACTTCCCAGCTGGACCAGCAGCTTCCCACCGGCCCCAGCAGCTGGAGGATGCGTTCGGGCATGTCTGGATGGAGGTTGCCGTGGGCTGCAGCAGCAGTTGCCATCGCTGGCCACAGCTCATGGTGCTGGGCCAAGGTGCTCGTGTTTGGTGGCTGCTCGCTGCCTCCGGATGGGCACGGTGCTATGTGAAGGGGAAAGGAGGATGGGGAGTGTGAAAACATCCTAGATGAGGATTACACAATGCAGAAGACCCATACTGGGAAGCTGAGGTCTGGAGCCAAATGCTCCCAAATCCCTCCTGGTTTTGCATTCATAACACACAGGGAGAGGAGGGGGCCCGCTGGAATAACCCTTTCCCACAGCGGTGTTCCCAGGAGGGAATGATTTTTCCTCTTGGTCGCACAGAGCAGCTTTCGGAGCCGTACTGTGGAGGGCTGGATGTGGCGCTGCGCAGGGATGGATCATTCCCTCATCACCAACCCCCAGCGCTGCTCCCGCTGCAATTCCCGCTGCAATTCCCCGCTTCGCTCCCTCTGGATGCGGGAGGATGCGACTGGCACCAATGAGAAACCCAGCTCCATCGCGGGGACATTCACAGTGCTGTGGGCATCTCCCCATGCTCCGTGCAGCCTCCAGCTGCACGCTGGGGCTCTCGGGTGAAGCAGCTTTCGCTAAGAGGATGCTCAGTGCTTAAAGCAGCTCTGTGGGTGGGATAAAGGCCCCTTCCCAACTACGGAGAAGGGAATGGGGCTGTCAGACCCGGCAGCTTTTCAAATGGGCGCCCGAAGTGGCGGGAAGGAGTGGCCTCGGTTGTGCAACCGCAGCCAGCCCCAGCCCCGCTGATGCAAGAGCAGGGCTCCAAAGGAGAAGTGACGTGACACAAACCGCCCGGCCCAGGGATGGGAATATCCCCGCTTACACAGGGATGCCTCATTGATCCCAGGGCAAAACCAGGGAGAAAACAGATCAGGCGCAGGTTTTCCCCTAGGGAAACAGCTCTGTGATTGTCCTGTGATTTCTGGGGGGGTGAAGGTCCCATCCCTGTGCCCTGCATGGGGGGATGCAGGTTTCTGGTGGGTCTTGCTCCTCTTCCCCGGAGCTGGGGAGCTCTGGCTGCAGATGCAGACCCGCATCGGTGCAAAATGAGTTACTGGAAATGGGAAGTGGGTAAAGGATGGAGCCAGGGTCTGGGTCAGGGAGTCCGTGGTTGGGTCTGCAGCAGCATCAGCAGGAAAAGCAAAGGTGGGGAAAAGAAGCGTGATTAATACCAGGCAGTGCAGGAACTTTAAATAACCAGTCCCAGGGTGACTCATCACATCCAGCCCCAGCAACACAGAGGAGGAGGAGGTCAGAGGAGCAGGACCGGGGACCAGGACCTGAGGGTAGATGGGGTGTTCCCTTCTCTGCCTCTATGGTCACAATGTGAAAGCTGCCACATCTCCCACTGGCTCCCTCCCCAAGGGGTGTCCCAAGCCCTCACCAGGAGAGGGGTGGTGGTGGGAGACTCCATCCTTGCTTGGAAAACCCATCCTGATGCCTGGAAGCAAAAGGAACATATTAATAACGTATTCATAGTGTATTTCATGGCCTTCAAAGCAACCTCCTTCCCAGCAGCTCAGTGCCAAGCCTTGCCTGGGGAGCCCTCAGGAGCGTTTCCTTCCCAGGGGGATCTCCCAAGGCGGGACCCTCAGATGCGGAGCGGGGAGGAAGCCACTGCAGACATGGCGCATATTATTCATGGTGGGGAGTTGGCTGTGACTCAGCCCATCCTCAGCGCTCCATCGGGGAACGTGCCCGGGCACATCGCCTCTGACACCAAGTTTCATCCTCGCCACAGGGACACGGGGAGCACCAGGAGCTCCCAC